CAAAATTTCAAGGATGCTACAATCGTACGTCTCCACAAACGGAAAGGGAGCTGGTAACTTTGTGATAACGACAAAGGTGGTCCACGGCCGCAGAACCAAAGGAACCGCGCCGCTTCTCAGCTCCGACGGAACAGTGTTTCTGACAGAGAAAACGCGGATTCTGAAACGCTAGGCCCGGCACTTCAGAAGGTGTTCTCAACCGTCCATTTACAGTCTCCGACGCCGCCATCAATCGACTACCCTGAGCGGAAACCAACAACGAAATGGGCCTTCCGCTTTCCACCCCAGAAACAATTAGAGTCGTGCGCCAACTATCAGTTTGGAAATCACGGAGGCACGACGCGATACCAGTCGGAGTTTACAAGTATGGGGACCCCAAGTGACCGACCAGTTTCAACGCTATTACCGGAGATGTGGAGCCGAGGACAAGTTCCTCAGGAACCCGAGGATACGACAATCATCCATCTCTACAAGCAGAAAAGGAGCAGACAATTTCGCGATAATCACAGAGGCATTTCGCTGCTCAGTATCGACGGGAATATTATCACTGGCATCTTCCTCAACCGTCTCAACAGCCATCTCGTACAGAGACCTCTCCAGGAAAGCCAGTGTGGCTTAAGACGCTACTGCAGAGCCGCCGATATGATCTTCGCCGCTCGTCAGGTGCAAGAGAAGTGCGAGCAAGCGCAGACCCACCTCTACACTGCGTTTTTGAGTCTACCGAAATCCTTCGACATGGTGGATCGCAGTGAAATGTGGGAAATCATGCGGAACTCCGGCTGTTATAAGCGATTCCCGCACATAGTACGTCAGCTCCACGAGGGGATGACGGCGAGAGTCATGAACAGAGGGGACTGTCTCTGAAGCATTTGCAGTAACCAAATAGGGTGAGGAAGGGCTGCGTTTAAGCCTCATGTTTTCCTCCATGCTAATGGACGCCTGCTGTCATGATCACCCCGGCATCCGCATCACCTACAAAAGTGACGGACATCTTCCTAATAGCTCGTGCATGCAGGTTCTGACACGTCTCTCTACGATCTGCTTTTTGATCGCTTAACATCACCACAAATATCGACATACAATGAAGCATTAACCTCTTCGCTTCCGACTGCGCTAACTCCGGACTGACCATCAAAACAGAAAAAACTGTGATCATGCTACAACCGCCTCCCAACGCTGCATACAGTGTTTCTCGCATCCACGTCAACGGCACCCAACTGAGGACAGTGGACGACTTCACTTTTTTTTAGTCAGCACACTCACGCAACATCAAACTCGACGATGAAGTGGCCCACTAGATCTCCAAAGTCAGCTGAGCCTTTGGCTGGTTGCATAAGTCCGTTTGGAATTGTCATGGCCTTCATCTTGAGGACTTTGTTGTATGGCGCAGAGACCTGGACAGTCTACAAGAAACGCAACCATTCCCACCCCCGATTTTCTTTGACGAGATGGAAGAACACGGTCCCGGACCCAGAAGTTTCGGAACAAACTGGGATCCTCTGCATTCACGCCATGCTTAGGCAACTGTAACTACGATGGAGCGGCAACCTCGTGAGTGTGGATGATGTCGCCATGGGTACTAGCAGCCAAGGAGGTCAAACCCGCCGCTACGAGGACGCTTGGAAGAATTCCTTGAGGCGACCACATATCAATCCGAAGACTTTGAGACGATACAGCACAGGACCGACCGGCCTGGACAAGGGCCCTCAAGGCATTTAGCAATTAAGTTTATTTATTTTATTCGTCCGAGGACTTCTCTGCTGGTCTTTTGAGTCTCTGAAATACTTAAGTGTGACCAAAACGTTTTCTTTGTTTATTCCTGACCTTAGAATCCTATTTCACGACTATCCGCCTGCCTTTAGCGTAATAAACATGAAGTTGACCTTAAGAGGATCTCCCTGTTTGACCGAACAGCATGCGTGTGCAAGCAGGTTGTTTCCGACTGACGTTATTTATCTGCAGTCTACGACAGCTATTTGGGGCTTAAAGTCCAGCTAATATATATTGACCTCCTTGATATTTCTACCAGATTGTTATGGAAAACATTTTCTGTTCACCAAAAATCGCTGCTGATGCTTTCTCCAATTACTTTGCAGTGTTACGGTTGGCGGAGGTCCGAGGCTGCGGCCTCTTAATATCTTTTTGAGTGCTGCAAGACTCCATTTGGTCTTTTTGGCTTTGTGGGCCCGGCAGCCCAGGATCCTCCGAGGATCCTGCAAATCGCTGTGTTATCCCCACCTTTTTTAGATTTCCAGAATGAACTGGAACACTCCAAGCATTTGTTTCTCCATAAAATTGATAATATCATTCGCATTATCATTTCTTTTTTGCTAGCTTCTAGGTTTTGTAAATTATCGTTCAACGTCAGTGTCATCGCCCTGATTTCTCTACTAAGCCATGCATAGGAAAGTAAACATAAAGGAGCGAATTTCAACTTCGGAGCTGCGCGTTTTGACTGACTGACAATACATATTACTTTGAGACACATGATTTTTCCCCTTATTCTTGGAAGCCTTTTATTTAGACCATTATAAAAAACTCAGCAAGGATTAAATGCCTGCGTAGGGTAAAGAAATGCTAACTGTTGTTTAACAAATCCACCAGCGTTTTAAAATTCCTGTTTTACTGACAGACCTATGTATGCATTCAGTATAGCAATATTTCAAGTATTTTCTTTACTACCTGACGGCTCTCCGTGCATAACCTGTTTTTAAAAATGAGCTTTCCTCTTACTTATGAATTACGTGTGCGGATGCAGAACAATGAGCCACTGTAGACACTTCAGCAGCGTCGAATCCGCGGGCGGTATAGGTCAGCGAATGTCATCCGGCCGACGGAGGGCCACCAAAAACTGTGGTGAACTACGTCGACTTTTAAGATATTGTGGGCAGTCCTCCATAGCTTTTCCTTACCCTGTGCATATACTTAACCCTTACCGAAAATCCTCGAGATCCTTCGCTCGCCCTTATAAGCCCCTACTCAGCGCAACCCAGTGTCAGCGATCTGTGGGTTTCTGGAAACTGACATCACTTCAGTTTGAAATAAGACTGTGCAACGGCCACTTTGATAATAGGGGAGGTTGAATGGCCAGTGAACCTATTTTTGTCAATTTATTTGCAGAAGCATCTGGAAGGGATGGACAGACCAGGTCCTATGCGCACCTTGAGTGAGCAGTGTTGGACTTAGATTGGGAATGCCAGAAGAATCTTGGGTTCTTCGAAGTGTAAAATGAAAATGTCTCACATAAAGTTAAGCGTGGGGGGGGGTGACTTCTGCACATGAACCCTTTTTAGATGTCTTAAAACAAGACTCCTGTCTACATCTAAATACGCAGATGTCAAGTTTTGTTTTTGTTAGTGTACCCTTTTGTCTAGACTGAATAACCGGAGAGTTGGCGAGCAGAATTTGAGAAACAACTGTGGCGACGTAAAGTATGAGACCAGTCTGTATAGATTTTAACCTATGGCTCGCGGGAGGAGCACGGGCCCATACGGGTATTCAGGTTGAATTAACCCCAGGTAAGATCACAGTTCGCAGCCAGGCATTATGAGTTAATACCGTCGACAATAACCTTGGACTACCTGGGTTCTGATCGTCTACATGCCTCCTAATTCACATATTTTGAATTACGCGGGCTGTTTCGGTACCTCACTGGAGTAACGACGCAAACACACGACAAGAAAGCGAGTTTCCCAAATGCCTTCCACAGATTCGGCTTACTGCAGCGCCGTCTGTTCTACTGATCAAACTAAAATTAACATCCTTCGCGTAGTTCGGAAGTCCTTGTGCCCTATTTTCTCAGTGCAAGTTCGCACATTGCGAAAGCTGAAAAGAAGGAATCAGTTCTAACGTCTTTGTTCGATCGAAAAGTTCACGAATGCTGCTACGCCACAAGCTGCAATAGACAAACCCCAGCCGCCTGTCATACGTGAGCGGTGGTAATAGGTGGTTTGACACTAACCCCCCAACCCCTAGCAGGTGCGGCTACGAAATAGGATCTTACCATCTAGCCTCACGAGAGGATGATGGCGTGCATCAAGGAAAATCGGACAATGTCAGAAGCGTTCGTAATGACCAATAGAGTGAATCAGGGCTGCGTGCGCGCCCCCACTCTCTGCAGTCTTATTTGCTCTGCTATGCTGATGGGCGCCTATCATGCGGAACGTTCTGCGATCAGCATCCCCTACAGAACCGACTGCCAGCCTCTCAATAAATGGCGCCTGTAGGCCCCAACGCACCTCTCCGCAACTAATGTTTGCGACCTGCTCTTCGCGGACGACAGGATGCTCAACACCGCGACAGAAGCGGATATGCAACGGAGCATGAGCTTCTTCGCACCTGACTGCACGCACTCCGGACTTACCATCAACACGAACGAAACGGCGTTGATGTCCCAGCCGGTCACTGACAACGCTGCCCTACTCAAGACAGTGAACACACTGCCTATTTAGGCAGTACACTTTCAGAGAACACCAAGGCAGACGGATTTCCAAAGCCAGCCAGGCCTCCGGCCGGCTGCAGGCCTCCGTCTGGAATCGCAACAGACTTCAACTCAAAACAAAACTCAAGATGCCCGAGGCTGTCATCTAACAGGGCTGCTCTGGGTGGGACGGGGGAGTCATAGAGTATCTCGCGAGTTAATTCAGGAAATGCAATAATTTTCACCTCAGCTACCCCCGGAGAATAGTGAGGCTGAAGTGACAAAACAAGATCCCGGACACGGAAGTGCTCGAACGAACACAAATCCTCAGTATCCACGACATGCTGAGGCCACTGAAATTGTCTCGGAGCGGTCTCTCCGCGAAGATGGCTAACGATGAGACACTTCTACGGCGATGCCGACACAGGCCCTCGCCGATAAGTCGGGCAAAAACAACGATGCAAGGACACCCTCGGAACACATTTCAATCAGGTGCAATTCAACCCGGAGACCTGGGAGGACCTCGCCCAGGACCGACCAGCACGAAGAAGAACAGTGAAGACTGGAACAGCAGTCTACGATGCAAATCGGATTGCGCTGCCAGAGCCAAAAGAGCGGTTCGCTAGTCCCCGACCCACAACGCAAAGACCCAACCCGGTCCCCTACCGCCAGCATGTCCACGCAGTCCACGGACATTTCGCGTGTGGTTCAACTTTGTCGAAATCTCCGGACCCAGTGCAACAACAGCCCAACAACTACATCTGCTACCTCCGAAAACGCCTCCATCACCACCCCTGCACCACCCACCACGGCGTCCACGATGACGATCACCATCACCGGTGATCACACTCCTCCTGTTCCGCCACTGACTACCGCCACCTCTATCATCACTGCCACAACTCTCGCGACGACGGCGACGGCAAGTGTCTCCTCTCCCATCCCTACTACCGGTGGTATCACTCTCGGCATCCCGCCAACCATCATCCTCCCGATCAACGTCCCCGTCACGAGCAATCCGGACTTGATCCCAAGCTGTCCTCATTGCAACCACACCCCGAAATAGCCCACCAGCCTGGTCGGTCACTGGCGAATTCATTGTACGGAGAATTGCATAACGGGCCAGGAACCTCGAGTTACACTTGCCGCACTCGCCACCACTGTCCACACTGCCCACGCACGGATTGGGTTTACTCTGCTGCATGTCTCTGTATAAAAACCTTCGGCATATCACCACAGAACAAAGCCGATCACCAGGCACTGCCTCACCAGCCCGTACATCACAGACGGACCCTTTTCACATCACACACACCTCTCATGCAAATGGAAAACTTGTTCTTCGGCGCCTTTTTCATGTGCCCTTTAAAGTACTCTATCGAATACGAAATCCAAATAACCTACCTCCGCAGTGCGAAAACCTGATGCGTTGTGCATGGGATCGGGTCGTGAGTGGCCCGCGCAGACGGACTGTTTCGTTCAGTCAGCCAATGGCGCCCAATCCCCGCATCCGAAGACTGATTGGCTTAGAGAGTGGACTGATGGCTGGGCGAGAGAAGGGCAAATGTGGCCGACTGTGGGAATTTTATCCCCACAGCGCTCGGCGCGTATTCTTCACCACCAACAGTCTGGCGCGCCTTTAAACTGTTTCGGTGTGTTAAAAGCTGTTGCTTGAAAGGATGCCAGCCGACGGAATTGTAACTTACCGCCCACACGGTCGTCAGTGCCGCTGCTTACCCATGTCGCCTTCGGTTCGCATAACACGCGTGGCCCACTCCCAAGCCTGCGACGCCGTGACGCCCATGGATATTTCCCTCTTCACTGATTGGCCGCAGTCGGACGAGTCCGGGCGCATGCGCTTCAGCTGATGTGCCTGATGAGAAAGTTGGCTGTAACTGCTTGCGCCATCGTCTATGTGCTCTCTGTCTCAAGAAAGGCTTGATCATCTAACTCTCTTCCCCGCCTTCTGAGTTGGGAACGTTCGATTTGTCGACCATCGCACTTCGACAAGCCGACCTCTTCCTAGCACCAGACTCCATCCTTCTTAATCTACTATATATAAAGGCGATGATGATGAATAACTTTCCGTCCGACGTCCATCAAAGCTTAGCACCAACTTCTAGAAATCCTTCAGCTGCCCAAATCCCTCTAATGGCTAAGGACTGGTGGAGATGAGCGGTTTCTTCAAGTCCTCTCTGTCCGCACTTTCACCTCCACCATCCCCTGCGCCTCCTTCTTCAAACTTGAGGTCGCAGACAGCAAATCTCTCACCAGATTTGACCTCTCGTCGGCCGCAGACAGCCTCTGCTTCACCGGCGAGTCAACTGGCGTCCTCTATCCGGCAAGATTAGCATACCTCTTCATCTCGAACCAAACACAGCTGCCACCTGTTAATATCATATCACGTTTGGTGCCAACGCTAGTCGCCGCAACTCTTCGTTCCCTTTCGTGTCCAAGCAAAACCAGCGGATGAAGCTGACCAGTCCGAGGGTCAGTAAGGCCGATCTCCTTTGTTCCTCTGACTCTGGTCAGGCCTTCTATGTCTGCGACGGTGTGAATTGCAGACGTTTCCTCGTGAACACTGGAGCCCAGATCAACGAGGTCCCTCCTACTTCGGCTGGCCACCGCTGCTCCAACCCTGGTCATAACCTCCACGTTCTCGATCGTTTCCCCATTTCCAAGTTTGGCAGCCTGTCGCTTGTTATGAACATTGGTCTCCGTCGTTTATTCTCCTCATCTTTGTTATTGCCGATGTCCCGCATGTGATCCTCGGCTCGGACTTTCTAGCCGAGCTCGATCCTCTTGTGGACTGCCGACAGGTTAGACTGTTCGACCGCATGACTGGTCTATCTCTTCGTGTGTGAATTTCCCTTATAACCCTCAAAGCTTATCTGTCCTGGATATGGGCACTGCTTGTCTTTATTGAAAACTCTTTCTTCAACGTCCGAGTATCAACCACCAGTTCTGTGGATGGCGAAATCCAACAAGACGGTGTGCACCATATTCGCACCTCGGGCCCTCCTGTGTGCTCGCTCAGCTGGCGTCGGCCTGCCTGCAGGCCGCGAAGGTTGAATTTGAGCAACTCGGCATCATACGACCATCCGAGAGCCTCCCGGATGTGCCCTCTGCATCAGGTGACCAGAGGCCCTGTTGCGACTACTGTACATTCAGCAGAGTCACTATTCCCCGTTGGTACCCAGTGATTCATCTTCGGCATTTCGCCGGAGCCTTTTTCGATAGCAGAGTTTTCTCGAAGATCGGTCTGGTGCGCGCCTTCCTGCAGACATCTGTCACCCGGCGGGAGGATATCTCCGAATTTCTGAAATCATTCACGTGTCTTTCGGCCTTTGGAATGCCACCGTTTGTATACTCCTACATCGATGACGTCCTGGTGGTTAGTACGAATACTGAAGAACACAAGGAACACCTCACTTGATATCTGGTCCCTCCGACAAGTGCGGCATCACCAATAACCCATCCAAATGCGTTTTTATTTGCTTTCTCATGAATTCCTTAGCCATCATGTTAAAGTTGACGATTTTTGTCCTACACCATTGGAGGTTGGAGCCCCTCGTGATTTTCCATCAATAACCTCTAAGCGTCACTTGCAACGTCTCCTCGGCATAGTCAACTTTTACTACCGGCCCCTGCTGAACTGTGCTGACCTCATGCTGTCGCTAACCAACATGCCTTCTGATCCCAAAAGTCCCTCAAAGTTGCTGGTGAAGCACTGGCTGTTTTCGAGAAAATCAATTTTGCTGACGCATACAGTTCCCGAAGCTCATCCGTCCCCTCAAGGTTGACGCTTCGACCGCAGTCGCAGGAGTCGTTCTTCAGCAACACCTTTCTGGTTTGACCCGGCCATTGGTTTTCTCATCTAACTCCCGCCAACTCAGATAAGCAACAGTGAAGCACTTCCGGCACTACCTTGAAAGTCGTGACTTCAACATTTTCGCGGACCACAAGCCGCTTGCGTTTACTCTTCGATTTCAACCCGCCAATAATAATCCGTGAGAGACTGGCTACCTGGACTACTTTGCACTGTTCACTACTAACACCCACGAAGAATGAGGTAGCTGAAGTGCTGCCCAGACCCTCCCTTTTCGCACTACGAAGGACCCTTCCGAATACTCTTACACATTACCAAGACCTAATGGATCTCTCGTGGTGACAAGGACGTGGTTGACATCGACTGGGTTAAGGCCGCGACGAGCCATCGAACCTGACCCAGAGACAGAGGAATGATGATTCATGCTCCCCTTTTCTTTCCCTACCCCACTATCTGTTCCTCCATCCCGGCAACTTCCTGTCCCGCCATGTCTGCTGCCTTCAGGCGTAAATTCATCATACACCACCTCATTCGTCGCAGCACCCATAGTCCTCTTCTCCAGTCTCTCCCGATTTTGTCACACGCAGTGGACGCTGTGTCCGCCTTTCAGACCGTTTGGTTATTCGCGTTTTTAGGCACAGACGTTTCCTTCGACGTCACTACACGCCGCCTTCGGTCTGGATGGGGGTACTGTGGCTGCCCGCTCTCACGGTAGTCAGTGCCGCCGCCGACCCATGTCGCCTTCGGTCCGCATGACACGACTGACCCAGGCTCCAGCCTGCGACGCCGTGACGCCCATCGACATTTCCCTCTTCACTGATTGGTCGCGGTCGGACGAGTCCGGGCACATGCGCTTCAGCTGATGTGCCTGGCGAGAAAACTAGCTGTGACTGCTTGTGCCACCGCCTATACGCTCTCTGCCTCAATAAAGGCTTGATCACCTAACTGTCTTCCCTGCCTTCTGATTAGGGAACGTTCGAGTTGTCGACCATCAAACTCCGAAAAAATGACAGTTTTCCTCTCAGGACGGTGAATCATGTTGAATTTGAAGATTTTCGTCCTACACCATTGGAGGTTGGAGCCTCCGGGATTTTCCATCAATAACCTCTAAGCGTCACTTGCAACGTGCGTGGCACGTGCAGACGGACTGTCAGCCTCTACGCCCGATTCCGTCTCTCAGTTCATTTTCGTGTCAAAGCAAAACCAGTGGATGAAGCAGACCAGTCCTTGGGCAGGCGAGGCCGATCTCCTTTGTTCCACTGACTCTGATCAGGCCTTCTAAGTCTGCGACGGTGTGAATTGCAGACGTTTCCTCGTGAACACTGGAGCCCATATCAACAAGGTCCCTCCTACTTCGGCTGACCACCGCTGCTCCAACCCTGGTCATAACCTCCAAGTTGTCAATCGCTTCTCCATTTCCAGGTTTTGCAGCTGCAGCCTGCCCCCTGCTCTGAACATTGGCCTCCGTCGTTTATTCTCTTTATCTTTGTGATTGCCCATGTCCCGCATGTGATCCTTGGCTCGAATTTTCTAGCCGAGCTCGATCGGAAAAGATGACAGAGTCCTCCTTTCAGTACGGTGAATCAGGTTGTAATAGCTCCTTCCCTATGAGACCTCTGTAACACTCCTACTCAGCTTGAATCCGAACCATGCCGCCCTTGTCGTCTGTGTTGCAGCCTGATCAATCTTGCGCGGATCACGCGTGTGTGACACGCGCAGACGGACTGTTTGAGCTTTTTTAGCCTCTGCGCCCGATCCCGTCCCCGTCTGTCCCGACACCGGTCCGAATGGGTCAGGGAAGAGAGAGTGTGGTAGATACGGCGCAAGCCTACTATTATCATCAACTAATCCACGCGCAAGTCACTGTTTTGAGCCCACCACGCTGCGCGACACGCACGATGTACATGCAGTCGCATACAACACCCGAACTGGCAGTTTGCGTTCGCGCTCACCTTCCATCGCCCGGATGTTATCTTTCTATAGAACCACGCTGGATGAGTAAGGAGAGGAGGCGACAGGTGCCGTGCAGTTCTGCTTGGCTGTAAACACAAGCTACCGGTACCACACCCAAGTCGTCACCTGTAACGGTCGAACTGCCGTATGTGGGTTTCATGAGTATGCAAGGATGCGGATAAGTGATGGACGTTGATTTAGTGTCGTGTGTCCAGATATGACCGCACATGTGATGCGTGTAAGTGCGGGTGGATGCGAAGGTTGTTGGCAGGGACTCACAGCATCAT